TGGTACATTATTGCAGAAAATAGTAGATTCTACCAACTATAAACGTGAAGATTCGATTGCTCATTAACAAACAGGGCACGTGTTTGGGGAGATGGTGAGCATTTGGGGGGATGGTGAGCGTTTGGGGGGATGGTGTGCATTTGGGGGGATGGTGAGCATTTGGGGGGATAGTGAGCGTTTGGGGGGATGGTGAGCATTTGGAGCATGTGACTATTTTTTTCATTCCTGTGTCACATAAAGTTTATCACGTGGTGTGGACTGTTGTTAATTATTTATTATTATATGAATAGTCAAAGCATACAGACAGCTTTTCCCCAGTAGGAAACTAAGTGAAACATTTGTGTCAAACCTTACATGTTGGCCTCCAATAAGAGAGCTCAAAAGTCAAAGCACCACATTGTGTTTGGGCCCATCAAAAAGGTAGGCATACCCCCAGGAATGTGAACTCTGACGCATTTACTGGGAGTGACAACCTCGATGCTTAGAGCGCTCATGGCCACTGCAGTCTCGCTGGGTGACAATCGTTTCCTGGGATTTACAACCTCAGCAGCAGAGAGGTTATTTTTATTCTTTGGGTCTTCCAAATGTCTAAACCTATTAGGGAAGAAGCAAGCCACCGGCTCGCCAGGGACGGCCACCCTGAGGCAGAGCAGTCGCCGTCCGTGGCTCTGGTTTTTTTTTTCCTTCCTTGTGTTCACCATCTCCCCTTGCTCCAACTTCAGGGTTACCAGAAGCACTTCCTGACCCCTGCAGCTGCCGCGGGCTTTGGGGATATGGCACTGTCCGGTCACCCTTGAACTCTCGAGCGCTCTGGGCAATAAGTCAAAGGGCCAGTGTCTCACTCCCGATTCTCCAGAGCACGTTCAAGGAGACCAGCGGCTGAGATGCCGGCTGGTGCTGGGAAGGCCGGGCGGCCTCAAGTTGGGTCCCTTGACTCTGCTCTTGCGTAGACTTCTAGGAGTGGAGCTTGCTTCAGTTTAAGTAGCAGCTTCACGACATTTGGCCCCCTGCTACGAAATCAACTGTGTAGCAGAGCGTCCATGTTCCTAGCTGTCCCAGGCCAGGGCTTTATAGACTTTTGTTTTAAGAAGAAGCAGAGGCAGGAAGAGACGTGGACAGCAGTGGACAGCAGTCCACGTCGGGGCTGAGAGCCCTGCTGCTTGCTGTAGTCTCTGACACTACCACCTGCCGTGGTCACGACCTCTCTACTGCCACCAACTTCACACTCAGGAACTGGCCGCGGACACCGTACGGCCTTTAGTCCCCTGTCTACCTGATGCAGAACTATAGGGAGCCTCCCTTTGCCCGGTGCCAAACTCAGCCTCCAGTTATAATACAAGAACTAACAGTCGGTGACACCCCCAAACGGCAAAACGCTACCTAGGCAGTCCACTCCTGCTTTCCAATAGAGGAGTTCATGACATTAAATCCACTTCGTTATGACCCCTCAGGTCAAAGGAATGCTTTTATCATCTAATCAACAAATCCAAACAAAATAACTGATCTTAAATAATCACTACGCCCAAGTTACTTCTATTTGGCTTTGGAATGCTTTCCTCTTCTTAACCGTCTTTTAACACAGCAGATGTTATCTTTAAGCTGAGTAAAATGTGATATTAATATCTTGTGGCAGATATTAATATCTTAGGCAGTGACATGAGGAATTCTTTGTATGCATTTGCTCATGTGGGAGTTGCTGTGTCATAGGTTTTTGTTTCTTTGTGAGTGTGCCCCTCGCTCACAGCGCCGTACGTAGCCCAGGCTGGTCTGAAATTCACCGTGTCATCCAGACTATCCTTAAACTTGGGACCTTCCCGCCTCTGACTCCCCTGTGCTGGTGTTACAGGCGTGCCCCGCCTGGAGGCTCATTTCCTTTTCATATACTGCTCGCCTGCTGCATGCACAAGGAAATTAAAGTACCAAGAGGTAGAACGGACTAACGATCGCGGGGCACATGGGAGCCGTGACAGGAAGCTGGGGATGGCTGCCAGCGGCCATGCTCTGCGGAAGATCTGGTGTGGAGACGCGGGGAGAAGGCACCCCGGAGAAGCTGGGGGGCCAGGCCCACTCAGAGACCTGGGGACACGGACAAGGAAAAGCCACACAGCAAAGTCCAGAGAAGCTGGCTGAGAGACTGGCGTGGGTGAGGAGAGGTTGGCCTAGCTGAGAAAGGCCACACAGGGACGCAGCCCTGCATTCAGAGCGAGAGGCTCAGCCCCGCATCACTGAGGTGTAAGCGTCACTGCGAAGCATCAGCAAGAAGGGGACACGTGACCCGATCTCCACCTCAAATGCCCTGCGGCTGAGCACAGAAGAATGACGGGAAGTCAGAAGGGGTTGAGAAGACAGGGAAGGAAGGAGGGTGAAATGAAGAGGGGATCCCGGGGAGCAGGGGAGAGCTGAGCTCTCTGGGTGCACCCCACCCTCCCAGCCTCCACAGCCAGCAGGAACTGGACAGCGCGGCGGAATGCTGACGTCTCTGCTGACTCCCAGTTCACAGTGTGCGGGCCGTAAAGGTGTCAGGCGGAGAGAGCAATGAAGCATGGGATAAAAATCTTGCCCTCAGCAGAATGTAACAATAAAACAGCCGCGTGGAAGAAAGGTGCATCCCAGCCTGTTTGGTCCGGATTGCTAGTTCTGAAGAGCACATGGCTATTTTCCCCGTGAAGGAAATATAACTGGAAAGAAAACTCAGCGACGGTCGGAGCTGGGACCCATGACAGGGAATGCATGCTCTTGCTTCCAATCTGGTCCTCCCTTTGACACGTAGCAGGACTTCGCTCCTACTGGTGGCCCGTTCAAGTTGGAGACCCACCTCCCGAACAGTTGCTCTGCAGGGCAGGGATGAAAAATTGGCTGAGCGCTAGCCTTGAGCAAAAGAGCTCAGGGACCGCACCCAGGCCTGCAGTTCCAGCCCCAGGACCAACAACGATAAAAAGCCTGCCCGCCTCATAAATGGCATGTCATGATGAGGCTGCCGGCCATGAAGCCAGGGCTCCTGCGCACTCATTTTGGGGTGCCTTCCTTGCGGGGCGGGGCCCACGTGGCCCAGGACCTGATACGCTGGTTAGCTACCCTTAAGCACAAAACAAAGACAGCCTATCGCTTGATAAATGATGCCATCTCAGAAACTGCTTTGTATGACTACCTGAAAATTCTGCTCTGATACTCATAACAGATCATCTGATATATGCCTGAAAACCCCCAAATTACACCATTTTTATTCTGGGCCTTTTTTCTTCCATGATATGAATGAGGCCGTAGGATTTCTTCCCTCAAAGATGACCCCAATGGGGTTTTTTCCCATTTAACCCTTCTGATGACGTGTGTTTCATTATGAGCTGTGTCTTTCTCAACCAGAAAACCACTGTCACAGAAAATAGCCACACAACTTCAACTTCCCTTAGTTTGTGCCTTCCGGGAATCTATATTCCCACACCATTTTAGGACGTAACAAATTCCATAACTGAAACAGAAATCGACAAGGGAACATGCCTGTTGTTCTCTTGGTCTCTCGCAAGGGGCATGCTTAGTTGATCAGCTGCTTAGCGCTACGGCAAAACGTCATTTTTCAATTGTCTACAATATTGTCTACAATATTGTATCTATTGCTTCACAAAAGATAATGTTGGTGAATTCCCTCCTTTTTCTTCATAGAATACAAGGGGTATTAGCATTTTATTCAAGTAACAGAAAATAAATGGCTTTGTATCAAGATTTTCCAAGTTCATGAGCCTTCCCAGTTCTGTCCTCTGCCTGATCTCAGCTCCCCCTCATGGCTGTCAGGTCCCCCAGGGGGTAGAAAATCCATCCCAGAACCCAACACTAAGTCAACAGCTTAGCAACTGAGGTGCCACAAGGCATTGGAAGACCCTTGGAGAGGGGGACGGGCAGAGGACGCGACAGGGCCAACCAGGGCCATCCTTCCTCCAAGTCCCATACTGAGGTCTCAAGTCCAGTCTGTTCTGGGCTAACGATCTATCCCCCAAACACAGGGGGAGGTGGGGAGATGGGGCGGGAGGGAGAGGTATGTGCCTAACGCAGCAGATAGAGGAGCCTACTTTAGACCCCACGTTTGCTGGTAACTAGCATCTGGAGAGCTACCCCTCGCATGGTATTGGTGACGCCATCTTCCTGCTCTGGCCCCATTCCCCCAGCCCCACACCTCTTCACACGTGGCTTCACTCTGCATTCCAAACAGCGTGAGCCCCTCTGACATTTCCACCAACCTCAGGAGACCTTGAAGCTGCCTGCGGCCACCAGCGTGCCCCACCCCAAAAAACCATCCTGCCCCACCCCAAGAAACCATCCTGCCCCAGCCTGTGTCTGCGGCCATCCCCAAAGAGTCTGAGGGGGTCTCGGGTCTCTATCTGGAGGATCTACAAGGGCCTCAGCTCCTTATTTCAAAGACTTGGTCTTCCTTTATTATTCCCAACTATATTCCCTATGGAATCACACACTGACACCCAGGTCATGCTTGATTCCAACCTCAAACCACGAAACAGGTATAGTGCTTATTGATTACAAAGAAGCCCACAGAATCACTAAACACTGCCAGCCATTCTCAGCAAGTCGAAGGGTGAGACTTTGTGAAAACTAGGAGAAACATGTTTAATACTACCACAGCATTCTAAGACAGCACTTAGAATTTTATAAACAGTTAACATTTCTTTGAGATACAGTACCAGAAAATATGTTCTCAGTCATGCAAGGACTTATTTGCCAAAAAAAGAAAAAAGACTGATCTGCTTTAAACTAGTCTGTAATAAGGGCTTAAATAAGAAAAAAAATACCAAACTGGTGTTTTTGCACGTTAAACATAAGTCATGGTCAATCTCAGAAGGATCAACGTGGAGGAGACACTTTAAAAAAAATAAGTAATTGCATTTCAAGGCTAAATGGGCCATTGTGCGGAAAATGCTTTGTTCAAGCATTCCTATTTCAGAGACTCAGCTTGCGAACACGAAACACCTACCCCAGGCTTCCATCGGATTTCGGGGATGACATTCCGTAGGTCTCACTCAGCCCCTGTATCTCTCCTGCCCAGTGTCCTGGTCCCTGAGTGCTACTCACCCAGACGTCTCCACCGTGATGGGTCTGCTCTCTGGGCCCCAGGGCCTCAGCCTGGGCCTCCACCCAGACACACTGCCTCCTCCCTGCCCTTCCCTAGCAGGCTCCACGCTGTGCCTCACAGATGCCTATAAAACACCAGCCGAGCAAAGTCCAAGGGGCCAGGAAGACCCTTTGTCAGAGCTTTAAAGACCATTTTTCTTGAATGTCCCCCAGGTCCCCTCCAACCCACCTCACCTCTCTTTCCACTTGGCAGAGTCTTGGTTTATTTTTGGTGCCAGTTCTGGGGTTTGAACCCAGGGCCTAGACACTGTTGCTGGGCTTCCTTTGCTATACCACTTGAGCACAGCACCACTTCCATCTTTCTGGTGGATAACTGGAGATGAGAGTTTCACAGCCTTTCCTGCGCCCCACTTGGCTTCCAACTTCCATCCTCAGATCTCGGCCTCCTGAGTAGCTAAGATCTCATATGTGAGCCACCAGCGCCTGGCACAAATTCTTAACTTTTAAAGTGATTTTTACTTTAAAAAATATAACACTGAAGCATCCCAGCTAGGTACTATATGTTCACTGTCACCCAACACATGTGCCTAGGGGCAGATTTTTTTGGGGGGGGTTGTCAAGATTAAATTCTAAACAGAAATATGAATAAGAAGCAGATGATTCTCAATTTCCTGGAAGAAATGTAACAGCCAGCTGCTCTGTGATTAAATTAAGCAGGTTTAGGAATGATGATGGGCAGTTAGACCAACTGACAGTGCCCGGCCCTCCAGGGGTGGGGGTGCTCCTGCTCTCCTGCAGGGGTGGGGGTGCTCCTGTTCTCCTGCAGGGGTGGGGGTGCTCCTGTTCTCCTGCAGGGGTGGGGGTGCTCCTGTTCTGCAGGGGTGGGGGTGCTCCTGCTCTCCTGCAGGGGTGGGGTGCTCCTGCTCTCCTGCAGGGGTGGGGGTGCTCCTGCTCTCCTGCAGGGGTGGGGGTGCTCCTGCTCTCCTGCAGGGGTGGGGGTGCTCCTGCTCTCCTGCAGGGGGGTGCTCCTGCTCTCCTGCAGGGGTGGGGGTGCTCCTGTTCCCCTCCAGGGGTGGGGGTGCTCCTGTTCTGCAGGGGTGGGGGTGCTCCTGCTCTCCTGCAGGGGTGGGGGTGCTCTTGCTCTCCACCGTGGGGAACCTCGCTAAGCACTGTCAAACGTCAAACTCCCTTTGCAGAGCTGCTTCTTAAAATACCTGCTCACAAAGCTTCTCTTCTTTTTTTTTTTTTTTGGTTAGAAGTCTAATTGATTTGTGTTTAGCCATTTGAACAGAATGTTCTTAATGAAGGCACTAAGCAAGTTGAGCACAATTTGGCATTTGTAAATATTGCCTGGGATTGGCTTCCTGAAAACAAAACAAAAAAAAATCTCAGGACATTAAAAAGCCACTTTGAGTTTGATAAAATGTGTTTTCTGACCCCACACAACGCATAGCTCGGGATTTTTATTTCCTAAAGCACCCTCCTAGCAATCCAATTTCCACTACCTCCACCCGTTATCAGAGAAGAAGGTTTAGAATGGAGAACATCGGAGTTTAATCCCTATCATAATCAAAACTGAATGACCCGGGGTTATTCACAGAGAGATTTCTGGGTAGCATGCGCCAAACATGATGAATGAAGTTTCGCTGCCCAGATTCAAGTTGATCTTTTCTGTTGTTGTTTCAGTGACTGCCAGGGTAGATTACTTTTTTGTTTCCTTTTGAGACAGAATCTTGTTCTGCTGCCCCGGCTTACACCTGTCCCCGTGTGGCTCTCCTGTCCCGCGTGGCTCTCCTGTCCCCGTGTGGCTCTCCTGTCCCGCGTGGCTCTCCTGTCCCCGTGTGGCTCTCCTGTCCCCGTGTGGCTCTCCTGTCCCGCGTGGCTCTCCTGTCCCCGTGTGGCTCTCCTGTCCCACGTGGCTCTCCTGTCCCGTGTGGCTCTCCTGTCCCCGAGTGGCTCTCCTGTCCCCGTGTGGCTCTCCTGTTCGCGTGGCTCTCCTGTCCCCGCGTGGCTCTCCTGTCCCCGTGTGGCTCTCCTGTCCCCGCGTGGCTCTCCTGTCCCCGCGTGGCTCTCCTGTCCCTGCGTGGCTCTCCTGTCCCCGTGTGGCTCTCCTGTCCCGCGTGACTCCCCTGTCCCACGTGGCTCTCCTGTCCCCACGTGGCTCTCCTGTCCCGTGTGGCTCTCCTGTCCCGCATTGCTCTCCTGTCCCCATGTGGCTCTCCTGTCCCGTGTGGCTCTCCTGTCCCCGCGTGGCTCTCCTGTCCCGCGTGGCTCTCCTGTCCCCGCGTGGCTCTCCTGTCCCAGGTGGATCTCCTGTCCCGCGTGGCTCTCCTGTCCCGCGTGGCTCTCCTGTCCCGCGTGGCTCTCCTGTCCCACGTGGCTCTCCTGTCCCCGCGTGGCTCTCCTGTCCCGCGTGGCTCTCCTGTCCCCGCGTGGCTCCCCTGTCCCCGCGTGGCTCTCCTGTCCCGCGTGGCTCTCCTGTCCCGCGTGGCTCTCCTGTCCCGCGTGGCTCTCCTGTCCCCACGTGGCTCCAGGGCAGGGGTCTTGGGTGGCTCCTTGATATTTTGCAGCTCAGTTTTTGTATGTTTAGTCTCCAACCTCGGGAGCCTGGGGATGAAATGTGAACATCACGGCAGCTTCATGAGAAACTGCGCCAGGAACTCGTGTGCTGGCCCTGGGGACTGGTCCTCACCCAGGAGCAAGGCAGGGGCTGCGCACAGCGCCCAGCCCGGCGTGGACGCTGAGCCTGCTCCCTGGGACCCGAGGGTGTGGTATGGGGTGTGGTCAGCTGGCTTCGCTGGCAGGCTTGGGGACCGAGACCCTGAAGGAAAATGAACCAAGCAATCCGCGTTTAAGCTCAGCTGTGGAATGTATACGCATCCTCTACACCCTTTGCTTTTCAGGCTCCTCGTGGGCAGAAGAAAGAGACTGGAACCGACTCCTCGACGGTGTGGACGTTTTACAAGGCCCCACCCGTGCGGCGGCACGCTGGCTACCTTCTCCACACACTGGTTTCCGGGCTGAGCAGCCTTGCCGTTCCCGGCGCCCTCCCGCCTGCTCCAGCCAGGTCATCTTACTCCCCGCTCCCCGGCTCCCCTGCTGTCCTCTTCCTCATCTACCCCTGCTGAGTCCTCCCGCTGGAACACAGCCCGGCCTCCCCGTCTCTTCCTTCCACACCTCAGACCAAACGCCACTGCTTCCCCAGGACCACACGGGCGCCGGCCTCTCCTGCCTGGCGGTGGTCAATATTCTCATTTAGTCATGATTTTTGTTCCTGGCTTCGTTTCTTTTTCCCCCTAAGTAGAAATAAGCATCCAGGGAGGTCTTTCATGTCTTCATTTGCTCCTAGGGTATTGCAAGCAGGAAGCCGGGGCCTCGCACCTCACAGGTGATCAATAAGTCTCTGTGCCATGAATAAATAATGGTGCTTTGTCCTCTTCTAAACTCTAGGGTTGCTAGACTTCACATGGAATAAAAAAAGAAAGGAAAAACCCCACAGAAGTTGAAAGTCTGTCCTCTGGGTTCTGTGTAGGCGATTGGGCTCTGCGTTAGCCAAGGCTGGTAGAGCCTTGAATGAGATCATTTGGCTTGGCCGCCGTCCTGGACCGCGGCACGTTGCTCTGTTCTTAAAGTGGATGTTAGCCGAGAGGGTCACGGCTCTGGCTCTACACGCTGGCAGCCGGCAGCTTCCCTACGAAGCTCGGCGTTACCGCAGAGCCTCTGCGGCCATGGAGGGCAAGACACAGGCCAGAGCCGCACTGGACGCTTCCCCAACACGGGAATACCAGCAAAGATACCGTCAGTCTACCATGCAAACCACAGAGGCTCTACGTGTGAAAACGAGGAAGACACTAAGTGGAGGGAAAGACAGCGGATGAGGACAGCGAGCAGCTCCAGGGGGAAGCAGCCGCGGGACACAGGAGGGAATGGCCGGAAACCTTATCAGAAGTTCCAGAATAGGGGTGCTGACCCCCAACATTCTACGGTATGAAAACCAGAGGACTCACTTCACCATTGCCCCAACTGCCTCGCGCCCCCCCGGCTTTGCTGGGCTGGTTCTCGAGTCCCTCACCCCAAGCTGATCCTCCACATGGAAAAAAGCCCAAAGTGCGCGGCGGAGTTGGGTGGCGGGCCTCTGGGGTGCTCACCCTGCTCTGACCCATCGACCCCCCGCAGAGAAGTGCAATTTCCTCTTGCTTAATCTACCACCTCAAACACTGCGGCTTCAAGAAAAGGCCTAGAAACACCAACAATAAACATTCTGTTATATCACAAACATAAAACCCAGTGAACAAAACGATGCCTCTTTCTCATCATTCAAATGTAAAAGATTGTAATAACATCAAATCTTTTCATGAAAAAGACACTGTTTTCTTTAAAAAAAAAAAACATATGAGAGCACATGTTGGGGGCTGAATTTTTTTCCAGAAAAAAATTACTTTTGATCATTATTACAGTACACAGGGAAAAAATATGCCTCTGAGTGAACAAATCCTCTACAGTGCTTGTCTAAACAACTGTAAATGTTACAACCCATGAGGATAATTTTCACTAACAACTAAACTCAACATCTTAAGACTTTGTTTAATAAAATTCCTCACCCCATCTAATAGATAGACTGCTGAATGGTTACGTTTCCTAGACTTACTGGTGGCTGTCCATTTTGCTCATTTGATAGGTTTATGCTGATTTCAAAATGTTGTATTTTTATGGGTATCATGCATACATGTGCAGTGTTCCAATCATGCAAACATGCTTTCCTCCTCAAACAGCCGTCAGGCATTCACGGAAAACGGTTCTCAGTCTTTTCTCTAGCGGAAATATGTAGTATACATTACTACTCCCCATGAGTCTGCCATGTTCTAGACAGCAGACCTTATTCCTTCTGCTAACTGTGGCTTCCCATCTGCCCCCAACATTCCCCCAACCCCTTCTAACTGGGAGTTTTAAGAGAATAAAAAGATCAATTATGATGGAGAGATTCATGGTGATCAATATACATTGCATATATAACATGGACATGTGGAATGAAATCTCCCTATATAATGAATCGATGCTACTAAAATTTTTGTAAGTCAAATTATACTCTAACACTTATAATCACAGACTATAAATGATTTGCCTTTAAAATTACTCTCCATAATGAAGCTCATTTCTTTGCTGAGTCACTAGAGAATCTAAAAGGCAACAAGATTCGTTTGTTATCAGAGGAGAAACATGACATTCTGTGGGAAGTAAAGCCTCTTTGTAGAATAGTATTTTTTATGCCTTAAGAAGCTGCACTAAGGTGTTTTGATTCAGTGTGTCAGTTATGAGTGGAGTGAACCCTCATCAACGCCGCTCCTTTTCTCTCCCAAGCCCACCCGTACTCTGTTTTCCTAGTTCCATTTTCATGAAGATGCATCAGATGTTCTGACCACATTCACCCACCTGCCTCTCTCCAGTCATCAATTCCCCTCCAGAGCCTTTGAGGCCCTGGAGTCCACTGAAGAAGCTCCGAGCTTACAGATCCCAAGTGGAGTCAGAAATTCACTTTTTTCTAGGGTTTCCTGGTCATTTTAACATAATCAGTCCGGTGTAGACATTAGGGTTCGTCTTTTGAAATAAACCCCAGTGCCCAGTGATTACTGTGGAGGAGACAGAAGACAATGAAGCAGTGTGTGACGCGATAGCGTTTGTGTAGCGTAGATCCCCTGCACAGGAAACACCAAGGTGGCTTTGGAGAAAAAGTGCAAAGACTACAAGTCATGCATTGGAAGCGTTCCCTGGGGCTGGACACAAGGGTGAGAAAGGAAAATCCAAAGGAGTGCATGTGGGGAAACAAGCAGGGAGGAATAAAGGAATAAGTATGTTGAAGTAAAAGGAAAAGGTCATTTCGAGTGAGAGTTACATTCTTCCTGTTGGTTAATGGGCTGTATGCACACCCCAGCACCAACATTTTTTAATAAAGCCAGATATCAAAAAAACTGGACAAAACCGAGTGTGTAAGCCACAATGTGGACATTTCACATTGGCATTATACAATAGAGATTTTCTGTGCTGCTGTAATTCTCATTGGAAGGATAAGAACACTAAAGCAAGAATTTGAGTCACTTTTTTTCTTTTCGAATACAGACATAAGACTTCTTGATTCAACAAAGGCAGCTCAGCAACCAGCACTATAAATGGCTCTGCAGATGAGTTCTAGCGTGTATTTCATTGAGGAAGAATGACTTTATAGTTACTTTGTCAAATCAGGACACTTGCTAATCAAAGAAGAGGCTAAAATAAAATCATATCTGCTTTAAAATCATTATTTATTGGCTAAAAGGCTTTATGATGGTAGAAAGTTAACAATATTTCTTTGCAGAAGATGACACGGATGGCAGTTGGCCGAGACTTGAGGGAGACAACAATACAAGATAATGCTCGCGTAGGATGTTGTGATTCCTTCACAATGTTCCAGGTAGGCCAGAAAAACTGGAACTTGAAGTTGTTTATGAGAAAGCAGATAAGCCGCAGAGCTCAGAGCTGAGAGGACGGAGGAAATGAAGCCTGGGATGCGTGGAGAAATGGATGAAGGTGACGCAGATTTCGGGTACTGGCTGTCAGAGTGCACCCCGTCCGATTCTCAGATAGCACAGCTCCGGGCTGTGCCCCCGTGAGCTTTTTGAGGTCCCCTGGGATGAAGCCCTGGCCCTTCTTTCCCCCGCTCTAGCCGATGCTTCCCAAGTCGTCTCTGGAAGAAGTGCCTGGCACCGTCTCCTCCCGCAGCCCACACCACGCTGGAGAGAGCACCCACGCGCACGCTTCCAGCAACCTTGCTGCCCACTTCCAGAAACTCGCTCTGTGTGTGTCTCTTTAAGAGATTTTATTTAACACACGACTGAGTCTCTGCATGGAACGCAAGGCTAATAGCGCTGTAACCCTTTCCTCTCTCCATGACGCCTCCCAGCCCTCTGCACCCGGAAACCCTGGCCGGGACCTCATGATCAGACTTCGGGTGCAGCCAGAACCTCTGTCCCAGCATGCCGCACAGACGGGCCAGTCCAGCGGCCGCTGAGGCTGGAAGCAGCCATGTCCTTGCCACTGCAGCTGGGACACGTGCTTAGGGGACCCCGACTCTCCTTTGTGTCTGTGGGGACACACGTAGGGGACCCCGGCTCTTCTCTGCGTGTGCAAGTCTGTGGGTGCATACCCAGTGGACCTTGACTCTCCTCTGTGAGAAGGTGGTGGGAAGGTGTGACATCATGGGGAGGAGAAGGTGGTGGGAAGGTGTGACATCACAGGGGGAGAAGGCGGTGGGAAGGTGTGACATCACAGGGGGAGAA